ATTTGTGGTGCCAAGTTTGAAGAACACTGCTCCAATATTTCTAGAGATATTCTTGATTCAGTGTTTTACTGTTCAAGTGGAACCACCTATGACGCCATCACTTTCCTCATTTGCATAATACAAAAACGTAAATATCTCTAGAACGAAAAAAGATATTCCAAAAAGGGAAACGCCATTCTTCTTTACTTTGAAAAGCCTGTCAAATAAGCAGCAATTATTTTTTACTTCATAGTCACTTTAAAGTATACGTTTCTTTTCATTATTTTTTAAGAAGAAAATCGCTTAAGCAGCATAGAAAATGCGATCGAAAAAAATTAGTCAGCAATGCCAGGTGCTTAAAGATCTCTTTCTCATACAAAATTGCAGCTGTAAACCAATTAATTTTACAGCGCAAATTCGAAATGTTTACACAAATTTCGGCGACACGTGTCAAATGCTCTACAGTAAACAATATCAACAGATAGGATACCTCTCAAAATCTTATTTAGAATGTAAATGTCTTCTGAAGCAATTTAACTATTTCGATCATCGGTACTTAGCGAACAACCACTGCTATGGTCTGCTATGGCATGACGATGTTTCGGCCGGCCTGTCAGACAATACTTACCTTCTCGAATAACCCGTGCCAGATGAACACACACCAAACACAACACAATGAGAAAAGCCAGGGTTTTACAACATATTTCTGTCCTGGAAGTCGTAGGCTGTTGTTTTGAGGCTTCTTTTCCGCGTTCGTCCATTTCTTTGGGGTTTTTCTCAATATCAGAAAGATGCAAAGTCGCGCCGGTCCGCTCCGAATCCGCCGCCATCTTTTTAAGAAATGTCGTCACCAGGGTCTTTCAGTCCACGGTGAGGAGAAGTGCCCTGGACTGGGGCCGTTTCTAGGTCCCGGCAATTGGTCCCGGCCCGAAAAGTTTCGCACCAGGAAAGCCCTGGCAAAATCTCAAACCTTATGAATATAGAGCTGTTTTATTAACATATTCTTAATATAAACAAAGGTTCCATTCCGTACAGCAAGTTTCAGGCGTATACACCTCTCTGCCTTTAAATACCGATTAACTAAAAATGGCTTTTCGGGCCCGAAAAGTTTCCGGGACTTTCAAGAAACAGGCCCCTGGTCAGATTTCTTTCGCCAAAATTTTTAACTCGTGAGTTACGGGTTGTAGTGGGGGGAGTCAGATTATGCAAATCAGGGGTACAACATTTCGCAATTTTACTGTTTTGCGGATGTATATATCGTTTGGCATGTCTAGGACAGTATTATGCTTTCGGGTGTGCGTCGTACGCGCCCAACGGTGAAGTAGATGCGGCAGCATTTTCACCGGTTTTAATTATCATAAAAACTTCATACCTAATATTTCTGAATTTAACTTTGTTTCCTTCTCACCGTAGTCAAGCCAGCGAGCGTGTGAGGGAGCGAGGACGAACACAGAGCGGGCAAAAAACTTTGATGTTATCCTAACTCACCTCCCAAACCTCTTGTGATCGAGCTCGTTCAATCCCTGGAGGCTTAAATAAATACTGCAACCTCGTTCCCAGGGCCTTTCGAGGTTGTTGGTACTGACCAAACGTCAACGCGGGGAAAAAAAATTGAAAATTGTCTAGGAATGAACGAGCGCCATTTCAAGATGGCAGGTGTGTGTTAAAGAGATATTCTTTTTATTAAGGAAAAGGAGAACCGAGTGTAGACAGACTGCAGATTAGAGTGAGCTGATTTTCGGTACGGGGTTGGGGTGGGTAGCCTGATTCTCAGACGGTCCAGGTCGTTCGTAGCCACGCAGAGAGAGTGCGAGGCCGCGAACGACCTGGACAGTCTGAGAATCAGGCTAAGGGGTGGGGGGTTGGGGAGCTTCTATTGGAACTATTCAGTATGTGTTATAACTGGTTCCGGAATCCGAGAAATCTCCAATAATAATTACTCAATCCAATTAGAAATAGAGAATATATCTGATGCTGCTGGTGAATAATTTCTATAATAGACAACATGTATATCTTCTTATGCAAATAAACACTATATATATAGGTCATCATTTACATTAGCATTATCTTTGCCATTGCTTCAAAAACTTTCTAAAAGCTTTTTCCGTGCAGCCTGCCATATTCGTACACTTTCGTCATAATAACTTCACTTATCAAATCTATAAGAAAAAACTCGAACATCTTCTTTAAACACGATAGTGGTATATCTTTTATTTACCGGATTGGAATTCGAGCAGCTTAGGTTAACAGTGTCCAATCTCCAATACCGGATAACATTTGAGCAGCGTGCTAATATCGCAGCCATTGAGATAACACCGATTACACTAAAAGTAACCTTGTTGTTAGCCTTGTGTTCCATATGCAGATTCCACTCTTGAAATAAAGTATAAAACCTCCTTCAGTTTTCCATAACATTACAAAAATCTCCGCTGTAGTGTATTTAGTTTTTGAAGTTCTTTTTTATATATAAAACACACGTCATTTTCGTTGTTAAAATTCATGTATATCAGGCGCAAAGTAAAACTCCTTTAAATCATCCCATTCAAATTCAGAATCGTATCTCTTTCCGCTAAAGAAAAGTTTTCTATCGTTCTCTGCGGTGAAAAATTGTTCACAGCCAGTGGCAGTTCCATTTAGCGTACACTGCACGTAGTAATCAATCCGATTGGACACGTAACCAAGGGGCCCAGGCCCCTGTGACAACAGGTAGAAGTGAAAGTCCCGTATGTCAAACATTGGTCCCAGTCTCCTTTCTGCGTTTTGCCGGATGTCTATAAAAGCCTGCTGACCTATCATGTACGCGGTCGCCTGGCCAGGACCGCTCTGGTAGCGTGTCACTTCTTTTCGCGCCACATCACTGTCGTCCCACGCGTAGTCGTCGAAGAGCTGAATGGCTTGGTCACGTGTCATGCCCTTGAAGTGAAGACCTGTATCCACAATAAGACGAAGTGCACGCCATATCTGCCATTTGAGCATTCCATAAAATCTGAGTGGACTGTGGACGTAAACATCTTAGAAAGAAAGAGATAAGTCAGAAAAAATTAATGTGAAACTCAGAGAACCGTGAACCATTCATATAAAATGTGTTCTGCCTACAAGTTCATTTTCGTGCAAATCAAACTCATTTTCATATGAAAGGTTTTGCACCAAGACTCGTTTTGAAACAGAGGCACAAGGTAACCCGGAAATGGCCTATTAGATGTGAGAAGCTAAATCGTAAATGGCAATGGTAATTAAGTTGGTTTGTGGTTTTCAAGTTTGCTTGCGTGTCGTGAACTTTATTGCAACTGGTCAGTTCATAAATGACCTGTCAGAATCAAATCAAAGTGTTACCATTTTTTGACTTGCACAGTAAAAATGTGACACCAGGGGTACTTGTTGACGTATTATGCCCCCCAGGGGGTGTAAAAGATTGATGATAATGATTTAATTTCACTCTGCTAAAACTGACTAAGGCTTATAGAGGAAGGAAAATATGCCTTCTTGCTTATCATACATTAGTCTTGAAGGGTTATAAGTGAGAAACCAGAAACGGCAAGGGACCTCATACGATAAACGCTACCAGCGTAGGATCTACAAGAGATCTGATCAGCCAAAAAAATGTATGAAGACAAGCAATAGACTGCAAGGCTGATACTACGTGAAAAACGTTTCGGGACACCAACATGGCAAGAACCGATAAAGTAGGATCGCAACAGTGGACAGCTGTTTCGCCCTTCTTGGGGCTCGTCAGCACTGTGTAGCGAAGATATGTAACGCCAGCCCAACAGCCAACGCACATAAATTGCAAAATGACCCGTATTTTCGGACCGTAGGTCTTTTCAGATCCGATACGTTGCGTTTTTTAAGCATGGTACTGGTCATGCGGTTGAATGTTTAAATGTTTAGGCTGTCCTTGTCCAGCCACATTTATTCTTTTGCTTTTCGAGACACCAATCTTTACACTTTGTCTCCTTGGGCCCCGAAACACGTGATGTGGCAACGCGTGTTTCGGGGCGCAAGTGAGTTCAAAGTACGGAACTTGATATAGTGCACGGGTCATTTTGCAATTTATGTG